AAAATTTTTTTTAAACTTATAAATATATTCTTTATATCTTAAAATATATTTTTACAAAAATATTTTCAAAATTACTTTAAATAATTTTTTTCAAAGTTATTTCATATAAATATCTAATTCATCTTATTTGATATAATATTCTGCAAAATTTTATTAAGCTAATATGTCTGTGCTATTAGAGAATCTTGTTCATAATATTTTAAAGAATATATTTACAAATTTTCATGAGTTTTGGATGCTTCATTGTTAGAAAATCTTCATCACTATTACTTTTGTCAGAGACTGTAATACTAATTTTATCTTTATCAATCAGATTAATTATAATATTTTTTACTTCTTCAAAATAAATAATATATTATAATTAAAATATGAAATTAGTTTTGTAAATTTTAATTTAAATTTGATATATTCAAATTTTGAATTAAATTTTTACAATTAAATTATTTGATTTTTAAAAAATCTGATTTTAAATCAAATTTTTGAACTAAATCTATAAATAAATTCAAATTTAAAGTTAAATTTAAGATTTGAATTGATAATTAAATTTAAATTTTCAAATTTTAAATTTGAAATTATAATCAACTAAATTATTCAAATTAATATATAAATAAAATAGTATTTTCAAATTGAATTTATATTTAATTTAAAATTTAATTTATTTATTAACTAAAAAATTGAATTTGTAAATTTTTATTTTATTTTTTTTATAAATCTATTATCTTTTTCTTAATTATAATATTAAAATTTTTTTATTTAATTATTACTCTTAATATAATATCAAATAAACTTAATAAAAATAAGCTATATTACTATAATTTATTATACTATATAAAGATATTCAGAGATTCATTATTTAATAGATGACAAATAGTCAAAATCTTGAATTTTTTTGAACTTCATGATTCTAATAAAGAACTTGAATATTATAAAATATATGAATATAAAAATATTAAGAAAAAATATAAACATGATGATATAATCTCAAATTTAATTCAATATCTTTGATATAAATATTATATAGATAAAGATAATTTAGTATATATAAACTATTTAATAGATTATAAATTAAATTAAATTAGATTAAATTAAGTTAAATATTCTTCAAAATGAAGATATATGTGAGGTATTTAAATTTATTACAAAAATATATTAATGAAAACGCTCATAACTTTTGACAAAGTTTATTGTTCAAAATTGTTAGTCTTTTAATATTCTTGAAAGTTCATCTTTTAAAAATTTTGTATATAAATTGGAATTTGGATTTTCTATTTCATATATCAAGATAATAAAAAAGCTTATAAGAGATATACAGTATTTAATTAAAGTTCAGAATAATTATCGTTATCAAGTTTGGCTGAGAGTTTTAACTTTATAACTAACATATCGATATAGATATCAACCAAATCGCAAGATCAATGTGTAACGGAAATGAATTGTGTATCAAGAAATCCGTAAATTCAACATGTGTAACAGGTCATTTGATCACTCCAAGATGGGGGAATTTCATGAACTATGAACTCAAAACTAGTAATGATATGTGCATGTATAGTGATAGTACATACATGTATAAAACAAATATAAACTAAAATTGTATTACAGTATTTTAAATTCTAACTAAAAACCGTTTAACATATCGACACAAGCAGAGAAATATGGTTTTTGGCAAGGATGCTGCGGCCTAACATTTAGTGTGACATTAATGTGGGAAAATATCTTACATTGAACGTCTTTCTAAAAAATAGAACTTTAACGCATTCCTAGAAACTGTCTTAATGGACGACAATCCTCTTATTGAATTGTTCGAAGATCTCGCGGACTCTGAAAACGATGAAAAGAAACTGCACGCCTTAATAAAAAGATACCGCACTGCATCGAATCATGAGCTTAAAGATTTCGTCGATGAACTGTCGGAACTGCTGTGCAATTCTTTCGCTTCGTATATACCCACCTTGAAAACTTTCCTTTCCCAATTATTGGAAGAATATTCAAAGCGTCATATTTTGTTGACTAAATATAATAATACTGCACTTCAAAATTTTCCTTCTTTTTTAACTGACTGCATAATTGTACAGAACCTTCATCAATGTGATATTCCGGGTTTTGGAGAAATATTTGATTGCTGTTTAGAGCTTCTATGGCGAACTCAGAACAATAAGATTGCCATTCAAATGACTAAAGATTTTTTAATAAAAATCCTAGATTGGGACGGTGTTCTCGGAATTTTGATGTCAGGATCACATGGTCGCAATTGTCTTAAGCGCATCTTGTCTGAATTAAACATAGATAATAGGATAGAAAAAGAAAAGTTGCTGAAGGTGGTGGAGATGATTGCAGCTATTGTGGAACAATGTTCCAGGCATAAGGATGTATCACCTCGTCTATCGGAGGCTTTTTCTGTATACAAAGCTTGTAATTCATTATTAGATAAATTCAAAAACCACCAGATTGCTGAGCGCTCATTACATGTATTACCTATTCTGTGCGACAACGATGAACGACACTTCTCGCTGTTGGGAATGTCGGCGCCCCAAAGGTCATCGGATATATATCATTATGTGCAAGCGTTTAAACAGCGAAAAATAGATTTATATCAGGTAAACTTGGATATATTTTTTTTGTTTCTAAACAATATAATTAATGCTTCTTTCTATAGGTTTTAATGAAATTTTCGCCCTGCCTAAGCTGTCAGAAACAAGCACTTTTTCGTTTTTCTCCTGATAAATACTCTTCACTCATGAAGGAAGAAGAGCTAACAAATAATGAAGTATTTAAACCACCAGAACATATTTTTCACCTTCCGTTTGAGTTTGATGAGAATGATAAACTTGGACCATGGGATATTCTAATAAGTGAAGACGCGATAAAAGACATGTCATATTTAGAATCTCCTCTGGAAATTAAAGCTGTCATGAAGAAACTCGGACATATATCATCTGGAGCCTGGGACAAGCACGGTCTAAAGTGTCTGGCTCCATCGCTCTCAATTCCTGTTTATGAAACGGAGCTTCATGATCATGATGGCTTAAAAATACTCTGGCAGATTGACTACGGATTTTCCGTCCGTAGTTATATGCTTATGCAACTTGTGAAAGTTTGGGCTGTCACTACCGACAAAGATCAAATCGACAAGATATTAGAATACCTCAAGATCCTCCATCAAGTTTACACAGTTGAACAAAGTTCCCGTTGTGCTGTTCAGCAGGTTGGCAGAAACGATATAATAATACCAAAGGTCTTTGAAGATGAACAGACAAAATCCACTGAGAACGAATTTTACAGTGATCAAATGGACGATGAGCGACTGCTAGAGATTCACAAAATGCTTGTTACCAATAAATTCATACCACTATCAAAGGTAAAATGGTATTAGAATTGACAAAGTTGAAACATGTTTTGACTGATGTAAGATACATATTGTTTTCAGAATTTGTTCAAGTCGCTGGTAATGGGTGGTACCGATTTCACTTTTCAGGTGTCAAAAATAGAGTACGAAATCATTAACAATCCTACTTCGGCTATCATAATAGGTCGATCAGGTTAGTGATTTAGTTTGGTCACATAATTATGATAAAGTGAACACCTCTATCTTTTAATAGGTACAGGCAAGACCACATGCATCGTGTACAGACTACTTGCTTCCTATCTCAATAATTCAAGTTATATATCCGTTAAGCAACCATCCTCGCGCAAGAGGCAAATATTCATCACAGTGAGTCACAATCTATGCCGTCGGGTGAAAGAATACTTCTACAGGCTGCGAGAATCGGCTGAACTTGCCAAAACAAAAATGTCAGTAGCACAATTCTATGAGTACGCTAGAAAAAAAGAGGAAGAAGGTTGCAATACCGATCTAACGGATAATAAAATGCTCGAAGAAGATGACGATGAGGGTCTAAACAAGATACCTAACTCGTTTTCTCAGCTTACAGAGGATCACTTTCCATTATTTATTACCTACAAAAAGTTTTCCGAAATGCTCGAGGGAACATATGGAATTGATTCTCGAAGGTTGATTCAACAATCAAAAATAAATCAAAACTATGAGGACGCTTTTAATGATGAGGAGGAATTTCATCGTAATTTCTCTTTTATTAAAACATCCAACACATCATGGGCTCACTTTGTGGACTATGAGGTTTTTAAGAAAAGATATTGGAATCGCCTCAATGATGATAAACTGAATAGTGAGCTGGTTTATTCCGAGTTTTCTATTATTAAAGTATGTAGCCATCTATAAAATTTTTATTTATTTTTGTTATTTACACAATTTCTAAAATTTTTCTAGGGATCGAATCCAGAAGGAAAATATTTATCAAGAGAGGAGTATCAGACTATAAGCACTAAAAAATACCCTACATTTTGCCATAACCGGGATAAAATTTACGATTTATTTCGACGTTATGAAAAAATGAAGGCGCTTAATGGTGATTATGATTCAATAGATCGGTAAGAACTGTGTATAGTATAATTATTAGCTTGATGTAATTTATAAATAATTAAACATTTATTGGTAGAACGCTAGCCATTTTACATTGTGCCACGAAAAAAGCACTTAATAGTCCACATATTCATGAAATATACATCGATGAATGCCAAGACAACCAGATTGTGGATTTTGGCCTTATCTTAAAAATCTTTGATCGTGTTGACAACATTTTTTTGGCTGGAGATATAGCACAATGCATAGCCAAGGGTTCTTCTTTCCGATTCCAGGGTATGCATCGCTTTTATTTTTAAATCTGAAAACTGACACTTAGATTAATTTCTAATAAATTTAATATAGACATACGCTCCTTGATGTATAAATGGGAACTCGATCGAATTCAAGTTAACAACATCCGTCGCGTTACTATAAAACCAAAACAATTCGAGTTAAACATTAACTACCGTTCCCATAATGGGATCCTTCGACTTGCTGCTTCAATAATTGACCTCATCTGGTACTTTTTTCCTGATACAATTGACCGTCTATCACGTGAACGTGGTGAAGTTGGCGGCCCACGACCTTTAGTCTTTAAAGGGTTTCAAGCTGAAAGCTTCCATTTCAATGTCTTTTCTGCCGGTGAGAATATCGGAAATTATATCGAATTCGGTGCTGAACAAGTCATTATCGTACGTGATGAAGAATCTAAATCAAGTGTTAAAGCCAAAATTGGAAAGGCCGGGTTGGTGATGACAATTTTTGAGGCGAAGGGAATGGAATTTAATGATGTACTGTTGTATAACTTCTTTACAGATTCATCTGGATGTCAAAAGGTATGACATCACGCGTTTGTTTTAGCATTTACACCGTCTTATTTATATACATATCTAAATATAGTGGCGAGTAATTCTCTCGGCTTTGAGAGATCACTCCGAGGCAGTTCAAGCCTTTTCTCACGAGAAGCATTACATCCTTTCCTCTGAACTTAAGAATCTTTACGTTGCAGTTACCAGGGCACGACAGCACATTTGGATATTTGACGAGAAAAGTGAATACATCGAGCCAATCTGCAAATACTGGGAGCAAGAAGGGCTGGTCAAAGTGATTCGAAGTGAGGATAAAATCATGACTTTTCCTACATTGGCTAAGAAGAGTAGTTCAACAGAATGGAATCGAAAAGGAAAAAAGTTTTTTGAACTGCGGCAATATGAACAGGTAGTATATGTCTTTGGTAGCATTGAATGACATGGAGAAGCTAAAAGAAATGTAAATTATCTTCAGGCTATTTTCTGTTTTGAGAAGAGTGAAAACTATGAAAGACTCAAGCTAGCTGAGGCTTATTATTTTCAGCAAATCGCAAGAGCCTCCATAAATGATTCCGATCAGAATGTCGTGATCTTTAATTTTAATCGTGCAGCTGACGCATTTAGAAAATGTTCTCGACCAATACAAGCGGCTTCATGCTATGAGGTATTCTTTCAAATCGAGTACACATGAATATTTTAAATTGACTCATAAATTATGCAAATATAGAATATCAACATGTATGAAAAAGCTGCGGAAGTTTATGTTGACTGGAATATGTTTGAAGATGCTGCACGTTGTTATCGTAAAGTTCCTAACTTTGAAAAAGCGGGAAAATATTTTGAAAAGGTGAACAAGTTCACCGAAGCTGTTGTTGCTTATAAAGACGGTCAATATTATGAAAAAGTTATTAATTTAATGCAAAGGTAACACGTGCTTTGATATTCAGTCATTTCAATGTTCAGAACCTAATATACATATATAAAAATAAGTCACAGAGAAAACATTGACGAGAGAATATTCAATCGTATCGCACGTCTTGTTAATATTCATTATCGCCACGTAAACGACACAAAAATGAGCGAGAAAGCTCTCTCTATTCTCCCAACCCAGGAAGAACAAATAAATCTCCTTCGAGATCACGCTCCTGAAGAACTTCAGGAGATTTGTAAGAAGAATGGTCAGTTTCGTGCCGCTGCTGAAGACTTACGCTCGCGTGGGAAGTACGGTGAGGCGGCTGATATGTTCTTTCACTCGGCTGACAACGACGATGATATCATCGAGTCTTTGCGATGTTACTTGTATCTATGTAGAGTCGAAGTATTAAAAATAACAATGTTAGATCTTACGAGCTCGGATTCCACTAAAGGACCAAAAGGACATTTTTTCAAGGCTCTGAGTAAAGTCAAAGTACTAAAAAAAATAATGAAAGATCTCATGAGCTCGGATTCCACTAAAGAACTAAAAGATCGTCTTTTCAAAGCAAAAATTATTATTACAAAAGCTAAATCGCAATCTTTGAAAAGTTCTGAGGAATGGAAGAGCCTAAAAGAAGAGGTTCAGCTATATCAAGCATATATAAAATCTGATCTCGACGGAATTCGAAAGTGCATACAATTTTTTAAAAATCGTGAAGACCATGCCACTGAATTTCGTGCAATAATCACAATGTTGCATGCGTCAAGCTTTGATATCAAGGCAGAGAACTGGCAGGAACGATTACATTGTCTATTGAGAATGTGTGAACTGGCCTTTCCTTTTTTAGCTCCTCGAGGAAATGAAGATCTCACAAAAATCAACAAAGATTTTCAGGACATTTTCATTATAAACGAGGTTGAAAATCGGCCACAAAAACGAAAAATATCTTCTGACAATTACCTTGTGCATTTGCTAAACCAAAATGATGCAGAGGACGCTGTAGAAGTTTCGGAAAATTGGCATGTATATAATGAGAATAATCTGAACTCTAATATCTCGCAACTACTTGCTTCATATATCTATGAGCACATCTGGGAGATTCATCAGAAGGGTAAAGAAATTCAAGAGATACACTCTGAAATCTGCTTCAAGTTTGCGTCAAATCAAGATTGTCATAATTGTGGAAAACATCATGTTATTCCAACACCTTCAATTCTGTGCAAACGTCTTTCTCTTGCTTTTCTCCATTACAGTGTGATGCGACAATTGGATGTATTGTACCATCGCCGTTGTCTTAAATCGGAACAAAGTAAAAATGTTCTTGGAATACAAAGGTATTGGGCTGAAAAGCTTGCGGCGGTACATATTCGCTATCAATCTCCTCAAACAAGCTGTCCAGAAATCACTTATGCGGTGCTTTCTAAACTTCCTAAGCACACACGTAAAGGATTAATTGATCTTTCTTACAAGAAATGGTTGCCTGAAGCACTTAATAAGCCCAATGACTTTTCGATCATGTTAAAATGCATGTTCGTTGTTTACCAATTACAAGATAGATGGGTGATTAATCAATTCAGTTGGGAAATGTCAAAAAGAAAATTTTTGAGAACCCCTAATGAATTACCTAATGGGTTTTATTTGCTTGGGTTTAATTACCACTCTGGATATAACGAAGCTGTTCCTGTTGCAAATCAACTCTCATTATTCTTCTCAAATCTTTATAATAACCACGTGTCATATGCGATCGAGCACATAAGGATGTTTATTCAATACACTATCGACAAGACTGAATTAATCAATATAAATACACCCGATTCATTTGGTGACCTCCTGTCTCTTATGGAGTTTAAAACATCTTTGGTTTTTGCGGCTGCTCCTGGACCTTGCGATTTTTGCCTTCCTCGAGCTTATTTGGTTAATTTTTTTGACGCATTTACTGCGAAGCCGCTTACTCCTAACCAAAATGGCTATAACGAAGCTGGTTATCTAGCTGAAATCAAAAATTCCATTGATCAAGTTCAGCAGCTTCTCAAACTGCTGATTTTCACTGAGCAGGTTGATTTGAACATTATCCTTAGGTTGATACGTCTCTTAGTTCTCATAAGCTTAAACGAACGCACTTTTGAAATCAGAGTTTTTGATTTTTTTAAACACTGGGAAAGAACTTTGAAAGAAAAAGTATTTTCTCCAAAGCTCATAAGGTACTTGAGTGAAAAACATATCAGTCCTCGCCTTGTGAAACTTCTTCACAATGATCTCAAGGAGAGAGATTGCGACTCTCTGGTAATTGTCTATTATAACTGTGGAGGTTTATCAAAACATTCAGATCTGGAACAACATGGAATTATAGAGCTTAAATATACTTCTGTTGAGCAATTCCGTTCTGCTCTTCGAAAGATCAAATCACCAACTACAGAAGTAAATATCCTAATAAATCAACTGTCACAGAAGCCAGATGATCATAAGCAGCAGAACGTTGTATCAAAACAAATCGTTAACGAAGATGTTCAGAACACTGAAAAATTCGAGATTTTCAAAGAAGCTCAAGATTGGTTTCGCCTAATTCACGATTCTTCACGGGCTCAAAAATCAGCCACCAAAATTCAAAATTGGTTCCGCCGTGCTCTTCAACGACAAGAATCTCGTCAACAAAATTTTGATCCAGTTCTAGAAAAGACTTTCAACAACATGATAGTTTTTTGCAAGGATGAACATCACTGGAGGATTGCGAAAAAGAAGAAAAAGCCGGTGAATAAATATCATATTCTATTGAGAGGCTTGATCGTAAAAAACATTGTGGATCTGACCAAGCTGCAAGAGAAAATGGATGCAATTAAGATAAAATTGCAAAAGACAATTAATAATCGCAATTCAAATGACCAGAAAATTGACGAATGTTTAGGTTTACTGGACGACTTAAAGTTCGTTTCCCATTTGTATATTTAGTTCTTTTTAAAATCAAACTAATTTGATTTTTTTAGGTATATTCACAATGAAAATGTTAAGATGGCGCTAGATTCATTGTCAATAGAAAACACAAAACATCAAGAAGCAAACATTGAGTGGCTAAAAAACGAATCGCAAATGGCAGATGAGTTCCTAAGTAAGGTCAATGAATGGATGGATAAATGCAAAAATACCATTAAAAAATGAATTCCGAGTACATGTATTACTGTATTTTACCAGGTAAGATTTTGTGGCATGAGTTGTTTCTGTGTTAAGAAACGACATACATTAAAAAGAAAGCTTTTCAACACACAAATTCGAACACTCGTTCTATGTCATACACAAATGTCTTTCATACATTCGTCGAATAATTATTATGTAATACTGTAACAAGATAGTTCATTATTTAGTCTTCGTACATATCAGTATTGTAAATAAGAACCAATATTTACTTTTATTAGATTTTCACTTTTTTGTGGTTAATATTAAATAGAACGTGACGGAAAAAATTACGATTAAGATAATTTATGTTCCAACATTTAGTCGTTTCACATAACAAGATAGATAACCGAAAACCAAAACACAACAAGTCGCACCAAACCTTCGGCAGATAAAAAATTTTTTTATATTATTTTAAAATACTTCGAACATCTTGTATTACTTGCTTGCATCATAAGCTAAATGCCAATAGATTACAAATTTCACCAATTAAAAGATGAACATGAAAAAAAATTTAAAGATTTCGCAAGAGAAGGATGGATTGAATATATATAATATTTTGTAATCATTGTTATATGAATTATGTATCAAATCCTCTTAAAAGAGAAAATAAAGTTATTAATAAAAAAATTACAAAAATAACTAAGATAAATATTAAAAAAATGAAAATGGAAACAGAAGATATAAATATACTTTAATAATTTTGAGCTTGTAAAAGTTATAAAATCTATGACAAAAATTCTTTATAAAATAAAAGTTAAAGAAAAATAAAAGCTCATTTATAATTTTAACGAATTATGAGCATTACTTGAAAATCAAGATTCTAACTTGAGTTATTTTTTTGATCAATTATATTTAGTGGCATATTTATCAGAATATAGTAGTCAAACTATAAAATATATAAAAAATTATGATTTTTATTTGTTATTTTCTTGTCTTATTAAATAATATACAAATTAATATCTTTAAGTCAGATTTATATTTTATTTAAATTTAATAGAAATAAATAATAAAAATTTAAATATTATGATCAATATTAATATAAGCATGATAACAAGAACTATAAATATAAAAAAAAGATGTCAAAAATATATAAAAAATTTATTAAAAATAATCTTATAAAGTATTTAAATAATACTCTTGTTTTTAATATAGATAATTATCATAATATTTATATTTTACATCAATCTTATATTACTATTATATCTTTATTAACTTATATAATAATAATCTTGATAAATTCATACTTAATATTAGATATATCACATAATTAAATAATTATAAATAAAAAATTAATCATAAGATATATAAATAAGTATTTTATTATAAATCTTGATGTTTCTTATTATTATTTTACAAAAAATTATATTAAAAAAGAATATCCTAATATTATATTATTAGAAAAACTTATTTTATATAATTATAATAATATATTAGTAGAAAAAAGTAAATGATATATTAAATACTATATTTTTTTGATTTTGCTAAGTATAACTTAAAGAAAATTAGTAAATACTTAGATTACTTATAATCAGAAGTCAATATAAAAATATCTTTTCAATTTTATAATTTTTGTTATTACAAATCAATCTGATTAATTTTATATTTATAAGATTATAATATAAAAAATTCTTTTAAATAATTAAAATATTTTTAAATTTATAATAACAGTTTTATTTATAATAGATTCTCTTTATTTATCATAAAATATATACAAATTTATTTATAAAAAAATTCATTTTTATCTAATAATCTTTATAAAAATATATTTTAAAATTTGTAAAGATCTTAATAAGAATTATAGTAATAACAAATTGATTTAATTTTCTATATTATATATTTAATATAGTTTGAAATAAATAATTTTATTTATTCAAAATTCAGTTATATATATAAAAATATAAAATTTTCATATTTAACTAATTTTTTTAATAATTTAATTTCTTTAATATTAAATATTTATATAATAAATTATTAAGAAAATAATTAACTAGTCTATAAGAAGTCTTATATATATTATTAATATATTTTTTTATAATTCAATTAAAAAAATTATAAGTATATATCTTTAATAATATATCATGAATAATATCTAATAATATAATTAGATATAGATGATATTTATCTAATATTTAATCTATATTTAAATAATTATTCAGTTATATAATTATTATCAGATAATATTCAATCAGAAAATATAGTTTGATATAAAAAATTTTATCTAATATTTAATATTTAAATTAAATATTATACTATTTTTTCTATTAATTTTAGAAAAATATATTATTAAAACTGATAAAAAAATTAATAAATTCAATATTAAATATATTATAAATTATATATTAATATATTAGATAAAATAAAAGAAATTAAATACTTATTTCTCAATAAAAAAAGATTAAATAATAATATATTTTAAAAAATATACTTAATTTATTATAAAAATAATATTTAAAAAATTAGATAAAATTTACAAACTTATTAAATTACTATTTTTTTAATTTTTTTAATATAATTAGAAAAAAAAGATAAATTATTATAATATTTTTTTATTTACTTTATTTTTACTAATAAAACTATATTTATAATCTTATATTCTTTGAATTTAAAAATATTATTTGAAATTTTTCTTATAAATTAATAAATAATAATTATTATTATTAAATTATTATTAGCTAATATAAAAAAATTTTATCAACTTCTTTTATAACTTACTATTTCTTATAAATAAATTTTATAATAAATCAAAAAGTTTAAAGCTATTAAATTATTTGAATTATTTTCCAAGCTTTTAAGTTAATATTTACTTGAAAATAAATTTTAAATAGAAGATTAGAAAAAAGTAATACAAGTTATATTAAAATTAAATTAATATTATATCTAACTTTAATAATTAAATTAATATTTGAAATAATATTTAAGAGTAATAATAATTATATTTAATAATAAATTACATATAGAAAGTGATATGAAATAAATATAAAAATAATAATAAAAATTAATATAATACTATTTAAATTAAGTTACTATTATTTTTATAATTACTATTATTATATTTATAATTATTATATTCTTTATACTCATTATTATTATTATAGTTATTATTATTATTATAATTATTATTGTTAGAATATAAGATAAAAAATAAATATTTATATTTAGAAGTATAATTAATTATTAAATTAAAATTAATATAAAAGTATATAAGTAATTAATATAATTATTATTATAATAGATAGTATTAAAATATATAATAGCTAGAAATATATTTATTATTTTTATTTTCAAATAAATAAAATTAATTAATTATTTTACAAATACTATTTAAAGAATTATAAATTAATCAATTATATTCTTATTATATTATATATATCTAATAAATTTATATATTAATAAGAATTTTAAAAAATTAAAAATTTTAAAATAATAATTAATCAAATAGTTTATTTAATAATATATTTTAAGTTAAAATTGAAAGATAAATAATATATTAAATATAATAAGTATTTTATAATTAATATATCTGAATAAATATAATAAAATAATTTTTATATTATTTATTTAGTCTTATAAGCTTATAAAAAATATTATAAGTTAATATTTTATATTATTTACTTATTATTATTATATTTATTTATATTTATATTATTAAAAAATTCTTAAAATTAAGTTTAGATCACTTATTAAAAAAATATATTAATAATCTAAAGCTATACAAAAAAAAGTAATAATAAAAAAATAAGATTTTTTTTTCAATAAGTCATGCAAAATATGATTATATCAATAATCACATTATTATATAATAATCACTATGATTAATTAGAAAGTTATATGTTATATGATCTGATTTTATTACTTGTGATAATAAATATATTTTTTAAATATGATAAAAATATATAATTAGATAAAAATAATATAAATCATATAATAAATTATAAAAAGAAAAACAAGTGAATTTTATATAATCAAAAAAGATAATTAAATTAAAGTAATTTATATTATTATGATAATAATATATAGTAATAATTAAAAATAATGTAACACTTAAATTTTTTATAAATTATAATTAGTAAAATACATATTTTTTCTTATATATAAAAGTTTTTAATTTTACTAACAAATATTTTTTATTTTT